TGGAATGAGTTCAAGCACTCGATATTCTCCCCCTTTTTGACTCTCTACAGAAAATTGGAAAGAAAAGAGTTTGAGCACAAAAAAAAAAATGTAAGAGAGATAAAAATAAATAATTACCTAGTTCATCAGAAGAAACATTACGACCAGAGGTATCTTCTACGGCAGGAAGATGAACGCGCGGTTTAGAAGCAGATTTCTTTTGTTTCTTCGGTGGATGTGCTTCAGGACCTTCGTGACGATGTTTGGTGCGTAATTCAGTTCTGGGAGGAATCTGGGTTTGAGCTTGAGTGGAAGGTCGTGATCTTTGTCGACGAGCAAGAGGCACTTCATCCTCTTCATCCTCTTCGTCCCCACTGAGAATGTCTACCGTCATCCGGTTAGGATAGGTCATGACGACCCTCTCTCCCCGTTTTCTCGAAGTAGCTTGTGATTGAGTAGGAGCAACAGATGGGCACACAAGTCCTCTTTCAAAGAAAGAATCAGAAAGACCCGCTCTTTCATCAGAACTTGAGCTAGTCTCACCCGCCTCCTCGGAAGTCTCCGTCTCCTCAGAGTCAAATTCTTCTTCACTACCAACTGAATGAGCCGGTTCCTTTCCTTTCCTTGATGATTCAGCAGCCTCTTTTCCTCGAGGCGACATCACAGCTTCGCGAGGCAGTTCTGCTGCTTGCCGTGGAGCTATTTCTTCCTCTGAGTCTGATATCCTCCTACGTCGAGTGACAATATTGGTAGCTATCAACCATTTACAAAAGAGGAAAGTCATCCGTAGAGGCGGCGTCTCTAAGGGGAGATCAAATTCAACATTGGTGCAGCCGGCAATGCTCCAAAACCAAGCTCTCGCCCCGTCGATAAGTCCACCTCGAAAGCTGAGGTGACGATTCGGGTTGCCGATGTATATCTGATCATACCCGAACTGACGGGCGAATCGACATGGAAGATAGGGTTCGATGTGGCAAACATCCCTTATCCTGAACAACAGATATCCAGGTCGAATATTCATCAACCATCTGAAGCACCCGACATCCAAGATGGTACGATTCTGCCTTGGGTCTTCAGCATCCACTAAGGTAGTGTTGTAAGTACCGGAGAACTGAGGGAAGCAAGGAAAAAATTCCCAACATTTGTGAATTTTAAACTGCCTCGTTATGTCCGGCTCTCGATGTTTGCTCCATTTGCAATTCTCGAGATTTTGCAACAGAGGGACACTGAGATCTACCGTATCAGGAGCCTCCATTAAATCTGGTCGATGAAGTACCAACCAGGCCATTAAGTAAGTATAGGGCAGCTCCAGCTTCGGAACGGACAGGCTGGCGGAAGGTTTCTTTTTCTCCTGGGTAAATGCGGAGATTAGTTGCCGCAATCCACTATGAATATCGGCCACCATAGCGGGAAGCAAAGATAATTTGCGACCTGTAGCCAGCTGGACGGCCGGATACAACACTTCCATTGGCATCGCATCTGCGGATTGATGGGGAACTACACATCTCTTTAACCATAAGGCTAGAAAACCTGCCAGCAGAGCAGTAGGGCTAATCGGAACACCAGCTTGCCACAGATAAGAGCGGAACTTAGTGCCGTGCAAAAATCCATCTTCTGAGCGCGAAGTATAAGAATGCGCGTTGGTTTTCTCTAACAAACGGTTAATTTCATCCGTACTCAAGGGAGACAATCCGCACACATCTGCCGAACGGACATCCAGATTCTTGAAGAGATAATCAGCGAATTGTTTTAAACTGACTTGAGGAGACTTCTTTCTGGCTTTGGGCTCCATCTCGGCCATGGCTATATGATAATGACAGGTCAATTCCCATAGAGTGTCATAGGTCGCAGTCGAGCTATCTTTCATCTTAATCAGCTGATTGGTGGTCGGAAAGAACTCTTGATATGGGACATCGCCCATAGGCAAAGCAGACACTTGCATCATTTCATGCAGTGGTAGTCCAAGTTCCCCGTTCTTGGTAAAGAATGTATTGGTGTCCGGGTTGTAGATCTCGAACAAACAAAGGAAATGACTTACACTGCTCTGCAAGCCATGCATGGTGGCACGAATCGGGACATCCAACCCTAATCCTGCTAATTCTCGCCCAAAACGTTTCAACACATATTGGGTCATCCTGGTCCACCACCACTTGTTCCCAGAATAATGGACCCATCCATAACACCTGAAAGTCTCTCTGGGCAATCTTTTTCCTGCTGCCGCTAACCGGTTCTTCACAGTGTTGGCTTGCACTATCTTTTCGTTCTGAGGAATATTGTCTTGTCCTAAGACACCCGGATGAAGTCCTCTCACATGAGCTCTTTCACTGGAACCTGGAGTTGCTTCCTTTCCAATGAAACCACAATGAATGTGCTCGTGGTTTTCGGTTAATTTCCAGAACATCTCTCGTCCAACTGATAGGTTCCTGAACATTAACAGTGAATGATCCCGAGGGATAAAAGGCAGATATAAGAATGATGATCCACTCTGGTGCAACCATTGCGCAGGCTGGCAGAAAGCAATCTTCGGATCTTTTACCGAGTCACCAAATAAGAAATCTGGCTTCCTTATGCATTGATTCGAGTCTTGCTCCGAGATCAAGGGCGCATCTGTGATTAATCGTCGTAGAACACGACAACTACCTCGCTGGATTAATTCACTATCACTTCCGTTATAATCAGATTTAAACTGGGGAGAGAATTCAATTAACGGGATCCCCTCGTAATAAGAGTGGGTCACGCTACTCCGGCCAGTAATCACATCAGCAGTAAATGTGGTAGAAGGAAATCGGACTGATAAAAGAGGCATACACATAAATGGTGTAAGTGTCATCCTAAAATTTTAGAGAAAAACGGTATATCTCATTCTATAAGATATAGTCGTTATCTCATAACAGGTGTGACGATTTTCTATCCACCATATGTATAAAGGAGGTATGCGGGCATTATAACGGCATACCAAAACCTTTCAATACATATGGGATGATGTAAAATCGCCCCTGTGTATTATGAAGTGTGTTTTGTCAAAGCAAAACAAACACTTTTAAGCGTCGATCCCCTCAAAGGAGGATACCGGCTCTTCTCGAAGGTACCTCAAAGGATACAAACGAGGATCTGCAAGCAAATACAGGTGCATATATATATGGAATGGACGAAATACAATATTTAAATTCGTGAAAAGGTGAAAGAAATATACCTCCACGTGAGATCGCAGCAGGGGCAGCCTCCTCAGGGCTCTGAACAGTCGGTCGGATTCCCTTCCCTCGAGCTCTACGTGGCGACATGATGAGTATGTGATCTACATTGAAATCCAAGAGGAAGGTTAAGATTTTGAACATGAAATCGACAAAAAAATAGGACAAATACAACTGAAATGCTGCATGCACAGTCACAGGTTGCCAAAAGTCAAGATTTTGAAGAAAAGAGGGGAAACAGACCTTTCAAATCCAAATGAAATCTCTTCAAATCGAAGCACCACCAAAGTCAGAAACGAAGAGAAGAAGAAGAGGTGAAGAACTGGTCGAAAATCGCTCGAAAATCGCCCAAGAATCGCCTGAAAATCGCAAAAAAGTCGACGTGAAAAAACCCTAAAACCCTAAGTCCCGACTTTTATAGCCTCTGCCTCGCTGAGCGAGACAGAAAACTCTGTCTCGCCGAGCGAGACAGTAAACTTTTCTGTTTTGCACTATGGAACAGTGGAATACTCCAATGGGTACACGAGTCTAAACTGTATTCCCACCCTCAACAGGAAGTTTCTGGAGAATATTAATCTGAATATTCTTAAGGATAACCTGAGGAATTCTCAATGGATATACCAATTCAATGGTAAACGCTGAATTCACAAGAGCAAGTATCAACTTCAATTCAAGATCTCGACAACGGTCAAGCGATAAACGCGACGCCGGGAGAACGTTAGCTATTCTACGAAGAACTGGATAGACTAACAGCAGAAGAGGTTAAACATTGAAGCCATTTACAAGTCCTTTCATACGATCTATTCAGCCAAGCATTGAAGGGATCGTAAGTAAAATCTATCTTATCCAAAGTATCCCATGCTCCTCTATAAAAGAATGAGTCTGGAATACTTTGGAGGGGGTATCTGTAGGCGTCAAAAAATGCTAATAGATATCCCAAGCATAGAGAAGATCATTCAAAAATTCACAAGAAAGGATTTCATACTGTTTTGAAAAAAAAATCAAAACAAGTATGAACTGCCTCGCCAGCGAGGCAGTCTTTGCTGTCTCGCCAGCGAGGCAGTCTTTGCTGTCTCGCCAGCGAGGCAGTCTTTGCTGTCTCGCCAGCGAGACAGTCTTTGCTGTCTCGCCAGCGAGACAGTGTTGAAATAGTCAAAACTACATTTGTAGAGACAGTCTTTGCTGCCTCGCCAGCGAGACAGTCTTTGCTGCCTCGCCAGCGAGACAGTGTTGAAATAGTCAAAACTACATTTGTAACTGCCCTACACGTGTCCATTAACTGGCAAGGGACGTGGGAAACATCATGAGCGAAAATCACGTGGATAACTGCCAAAATAACGGAGTTTGAAACGTGGAAGAACAGTTACAGCGAGAAACTGCCATTTTCCGAGACAGCATTTACTGTCTCGCTGAGCGAGACAGCAAATTTACTGTCTCCCCGGGCGAGACAGCAAACGCTGTCTCGCCCAGCGAGACAGTAAACACTGTCTCGCCGTACTGACTTCTTCGATTGTTAAGTTTTTGCAGTTACTGACCCTTGAGGCTATAAATACCCCCCTAGGGTCACTTCTGACGAGGATCGAGCATTTGTTAGAGCATTCCAGAGCAGAGAGAGCAGAGATTTGAGTTCTTTTCTTGCAACGCCTTGAAATTAAGCTTCGACTTGATTTTAAGAAGAACGACTATCTTACTTCGATAAGATATCGTTTCAATTTCTACTTCGATAACGAAGTTAGAATCATAAGCCCCCTCTTCACGATTTGTGAATCGGCGGTCCACGAACCAAAGCGTTCCCGGCACAGGCAAAGTCCTACGAAAACGAGAATTGATAGACGATTTTCGTGTTTGTTTCTCAAGAGTTGTAATTTTTGATTTGTTGTGTAGAAAAAAATCTTATAAAAAGATTATTCTTTCGAATTTGTTGTAATCGAACAAAGTTATAATGAATTCCACAGCAGCGACTTTTGAACCAAACAGTTTACGATTATTGATTGATCAAATGTGTGTTATTTGTGATTGTGATTGCATTGTAGATTGATAAATGTGTACTATTAGTTGGAGGATCGATATGTATTAACAACAAGAGTTTGATTTTCCAGCTGAAACTGGGGAAGAAGAGCTCTGCAAAATGGTCGGGGTTGAGAACCCCAACCATTTTGTGCACCTACACGAAATGGTCGGGGTTCCCAACCCCGACCATTTTGCAACTCCGATCATTTTGCCTTAGCCAACTTTTGCTTAAAAAGTCTCTACTAAATGATTGATGTTGGGAACCCTGCCAATTTCGAAAGAGATTTCGAATTGGTCGGAGTTCCCAACCTCGACCAATTAGACAACGTGCTAAATTAGTCGGGGTTTCCAACCCCGACTAATTTAGACTGTATATTACCAGGGGCATGCAAAATAGTCGGGGTTGGCAACCCCGACTATTTAGTGGCGAGATTAAAAAAACAGACTCATTTTGTGGCCACGGTGCTGACGTGTCCACGAAATGGGTCGGTTTCTAGACATAAAATAGGAATGGGTCGGTTTTTAAAAATAAAAAATGGAATGGGTTTAAATGGAAAATTTCTTCTTTTGGAATTACCTCTGACGAGGAGGAAAAAAAACCCCAAACACTCATCGCCTAATGCGCCTCGAGAATCGTGATATCCATCGTCATTTGCCGTTTTTTTGTCGGGACGCGCATTTATCTGTGCTGATCTTTCTTTTTAAACTCGACCGGCCAGCTAATTAAAATAGACGGGTTCCTCTAATCCCATGTCAATTTTCTTGTAAAAAAAAGTCAATTATTAAATTTGACGGGCATCAAGTTTCTTGTATTTAGTCTTCGTTCATAGATGACTCTCTCCCTGAATTATATGATATTATCCCCTTTATTTACCCCAACTCAAGATCCTCTTCTCATAATCAAGTTCAAAATTAACCATGGGGAGTAGCTCGGCGTTGCCCGCTACTGCTAAGAAGTAGAAGCCGATCTCCTATACATCGTACCATTCCATTTTATTTGTTAAGTTTATTTACGAAGTTTTGTTGATCGATTTGTATATAGGTTAGAAGGGAAAGTTGCTCTGATCACCGGCGGTGTAGCGGAATCGGCGAGTGCACGGCGAGGCTCTTCTGTCAGCATGGAGCGAAAGTAGTCATCGCTGATGTCCAAGACGAGCTCGGTAACTCCGTTTGCAGCGATCTCGGCGGCGCTGCCTCTTTCATTCATTGCGATGTCACGAATGAAGACGATGTCAGCAAAGCAGTCGACCACGCTGTGGAAAAGTTCGGGCAGCTCGATATCATGTTCAACAACGCTGGTATAGTATCTCCGGATTAGTTCTCAGTTGCTGGATTCAAAATTTTGGATAAAAATATCTTTTGAAGTCGTTGGACGGCCCTTGTCGTGGCCTGAATATGCGCAAATATTTTCTGAAAATCTTGCTGGAACCGACGACCCTGCAAAAGTCTAAGCTGGATTGAAATATAAATAGAAGAGTTAAAATTTCCAAACTAATATTGTAAAGTGTTTGATAAAATTTGGAATTAGGACCTGAGATTATTACTTCATTAAGAGCTATTGATTTGTCAAGTAGATGATTGTGATTCATTCAAATCTATCGCTCGTTATACACCCTATGAATTACACTTATTCCTAATTTGCACCAAAGACGAATCACAACCATCAACTAAATAAATCAACGGCTATTAATAAGTAGTTGTACTATTATTTTTTGGTATGAGTATTTAATAAGCAATCATCAACTATGAATTACACTTATTCCTAATTTGCACCAAAAAACTAATCACAATCATCAACTAAATAAATCAACGGTTATTAATAAGTATTTGTACTATTATTTTTTGGTATGAGTATTTACTAAGCAATCATGACATATTTGATTTTTAATTTGGTTTTTTTATTCCCCCCATTCCCACAAAAGGAAGGAATGAATGATAAATGAGAATGTGTGTTCTAACTTCCAAACAAATTAGGGTGTTTGGTTGGCATGAATGAGAAGTGGAAACAGAATTTCACTCCCACACTTTCCCGCACACCAAACGAGGCAACAGTATTATGTTGATTCCTAACAACCTCACTCAAACTAATACGAACAAACAAGAATTATTACACGAAACAATCCAAAATTAAGTTTTATTAGAGAAACCTATCATAAGTTTTTTGTACGAAATTATCACGGGAGTTTTTGTTAGTGAAGACTAACTAACTATGATTAATTGTACAGTTGTTACCCTTATTTAAAACCTTTTAACAAGAAAATTTTTTAGTCGAGAAGTTAAAACATGAATACTAGAAACCTTGTTGATTGCATTTGCATCATAACGTTGTCACTGATATTTTTTTCTTCCGTTGACTTTGAAACTTCTGCTTAGTTTTTTATTTAAAAAAAAGTTGTAGATGATTATTTCTTGCAATATATCTAACGGTTCGTGATTGATTTGTGAATTATAGGTTATTTGGATACTAGTCGTTCAAATCTTCGATAATTCCATATTAGTCCCTCAAATCTTTGAAATTGATTATAATTTNCCGCACCCCCCCCCCCCCCCCCCCCCCCAACACACACACACAAAGACACACACACACAACAGAAAAACATAAACTAAGGACTTGACGGACTTGTGAACAATTTCAAAGACCTGAGGGACTAATATGGAATTATTGAATACGTGAGGGAGTAATAGCCAAATAACACTAATTTTAAATCAGCCGTATCCTTGCCAATAGAGGAAGAGGTCTCTTGAAAAACTAGGTATTAAAGTGAAATAGGATTAGAAGTTTAAGAAATAAGATTAAAAGTTTATGGTATTAAAGTGTTAAAAAACACTTTCGAATATTAAGCAGTTAAGTGGATAAACTTTGGGGTATCAAAGTGAAAATAAATCTTTTTTATTTAATATATTATATCATCTTCTTCGTAGATGGGCCGGGGAGAGTCGCATCACCTTATAAATGTACATATTTATTATAAATATCATTACATCCAAGAGAAACTCACACTAAAAACAACATGAAACATAAGACAGGTAGCAGGAAAAGCATGAACAGTGTACGATAAGCTAGACTTTATGTGCAACACCCTTTCTTAATTAACTTCGAACTTTAACCGTTGTGATACATCTTATAATCTCATTATACTCATCCAAGATTCAAAATCATTATACAAGAGCCGATCGATGGCTAGCGCGCTCTAACAAAAGCATTCTGATATTTCTGGACGCAGGTATCACCGGTCCCGCAATTCCCAGCACGGTTGACTACCCAAAATCCGACTTCGAGCGAGTCCTCAGCATCAACTTGACGGGCGCGTTCCTCGGCACGAAACACGCAGCCCGCGTCATGATCGCGCGCGCGCAGAGGCGCATACGTCGCCACCATCAAGCACTCGCTCCGTTCAGTGGCGCATCGCCTCGCACGCCTACCACCTGCCAGCACGCCCTCCGTCGGGCTCACAAGAAACGCCGCTTTGCGAGGCTGTCGGTTTGGTGGGTCGTGTCAACTGCGTTCTGCCCCGGCGGCTCAGCTAGCGCGCTGCTCTGGGATTTGTCGGACTGACCGCTGAGGCAGTTTGACGGAGGCGATGGCGCGGGGCGACTTGAAAGGGGGTCATCCTTAAGAAGGAGGACGTCGCGAATGCGCTGCTGTTCTTGGCCAGTGACGATTCGAGGTACGTTAGCGGGCATAATCTGGTGGTGGATGGGGCCTTTTCGGTCGCGAATGGGGGGATTGATGTGTTCAAGGGGATGTGATTTGGTCGTGGTTTATGTTTTAAGCCATTTAAATATGTGAGCTCAGCAAATATTAGCTGGTGTTGCTGCTAGCCACTTACATTTTTAAGGTTGTTAAATGATTCTCCGCAGTATGGTGAAATAATTGGATTGAGGTGTGTTTGCCTAAACTGATTGTTGCGCTACCATAAACTGTTGTCCATGTGTCGCCATTATTGGATAGATATTTTATTTTAGTTTTTCTCTGACAAGTTGGCATAATCCACAATCAGTAAACGCAAGCACAAATTTTTAAAAAGGAATCTTTTTTCAATTTTATATAGCAAAAACAACATCATCAAATATAAACAAGCACAATGGAACTTATAAAGTATACTGAGTGCATCCTCATTATGTATTATAATTTTATAATATAACATTTTTATTTTTATGTAACTAGAACTTGTTGTACGCCCCTTCCCCTATCTAAGAACATTAAATAAGTTAGTCGCAAATTAAATTAGCTCATTAGAAAGTAAAATCCATTTAACTTTTCAACAATCAATCAAACAGGACAAATGGATCTCATAAAGTGGACTAAGTACTTCCTCATTAGGTACCATAATTTTATAATATTATATTTCTACTTTTAGATAAATGCAACTTATCCCGCCCACCCCAAAACACCCACCCCAAAAGAAAGTTTTCTAGATCTGCCACTGCTGCTAATAATTGATTTTAGTATCACATCATTTGAACATTTTAAATCATTTGTGTTTAATTTCTTGTAAAGTTTTTTCAAATTTTAAATTTTTTTGGAAATTTCCTCAATTTTCTAAGTTATGTTAATTCTTTTTTTTCCTTGGGCCAATATTTTTATCTCTTTTCCAAAATCTTACATTGTAGTTGCGTTTAGGATATATTTTTAAAAGGAACCTTTTTTTCAATTTTATATAGCAAAAACGACCTCATCAGAAAATAATCTGCAAAACCGATATTTTTCTTCGGAAAAGGATCGGTTTTGCAATCGCGAAGTTTTTTGAGCTACACGGGACTGCTAGTCCCGTGTAGTTCGGCCAGCAATTGAAATGCACGGGACTAGCTGTCCCGTGCATTTTATTCTCTCTCGGGATCAATTGTAGAAGAAGAAGCACGAGACTGTTAGTCCCGTGCATTTCAATTGCTGGCCGAACTACACGGGACTAGTTGTCCCGTGTAGCTCGAAAAACTTCGCGATTGCAAAACCGACCATTTTTCGAAGAAAAATATCAATTTTGCAGATTATTTTCTAATGAGGTCGTTTTTGCTATATAAAATTGAAAAAAAAGGTTCCTTTTAAAAATTTATCCTAAACGCAACTACAATGTAAGATTTTGGAAAAGAGATAAAAATATAGGCCCAAGGAAAAAAAAGAATTAACATAACTTAGAAAATTGAGGAAAATTCCAAAAAATTTTAAAATTTGAAAAAACTTTACAAGAAATTAAACACAAATGATTTAAAATATTCAAATGATGTGATACTAAAATCAATTATTAGCAGCAGTGGCAGATCTAGAAAACTTTCTTTTGGGGTGGGTGTTTTGGGGTGGGCGGGATAAGTTGCATTTATCTAAAAGTAGAAATATAATATTATAAAATTATGGTACCTAATGAGGAAGTACTTAGTCCACTTTATGAGATCCATTTGTCCTGTTTGATTGATTGTTGAAAAGTTAAATGGATTTTACTTTCTAATGAGCTAATTTAATTTGCGACTAACTTATTTAATGTTCTTAGATAGGGGAAGGGGCGTACAACAAGTTCTAGTTACATAAAAATAAAAATGTTATATTATAAAATTATAATACATAATGAGGATGCACTCAGTATACTTTATAAGTTCCACTGTGCTTGTTTATATTTGATTGTTGAAAGTTAGGGTTAGAGTGTGATGGACTTTTACTTTCCAATGAGCTAATTTAATTTTCTATTGACCTATTTAGTGTTTTTGGATAGCTTAGAGTATAATTTTATTAATTTATAGAGGGCCAAATTGTAAATATTATAAGGACTTCTATGCAATTAATAAATTTGCAGAGGTGCAACTACCCCGGGACGCATAAATCACTTTCTAGCTTCGTCACTTTCATTTCAAGCCAACAGAAATTCAAAATCTCTTTAGAGACCAACATTGCATTCAACCATCCTCCAAACAATGCGAAAAGTAAACAATTTGAACTTTGGATTTCTAACAAAATCATAAACCCAAAACATAAATCCTCGAACTGCCCCTTAACTCATACGCCTATATATTGAGGAGCTGTTTTTGTGGATTGTATTTTGATGCATGTTACGGATCTATAACAACCCATACTCAAAATCTTGTTTATTTATATTCATATTGTGGAGGATTTGATGAAGGACAAATCTAACAAAAAAAATTAGTGTTTGATTACACATGAATTTGTTGAGAATAATATGGTGTAATATTCCTCCTTTTTTCCTTTTAGATAACCCTCCACAAAAATTAGAGTGGAATCAACACATTTTTAAGGAATTAGAATCAATGCATTATCCATCTGTATGAGAGGATGCATCCATTCTAATTCCCTAAAAATGTGTTGATTTCAACCCAAATAAGTTGCACCTTAATAAAATTCTAGCACGAGTTTCAATAAAAAAATAAAAAGGAATTGATACATTTATCTCATGAGGCAACTCCAAATTCATGATACTAAAAAATGCTAATCAACAATATATTCAATAAATTTTAGGATTTTAATCTTTTGATTCCCATTTTTCCAATAAAAAGTTACAAAATGCAAGGAAACAAAAAGGCCCTAATTGAACGCATTTTTCCCTTTCCATATCAGTCTCTTAAATCTTTCATATTTTGAATTAGTTCCTCAAATCATTAGAGTCGCTATTAGATCCCCTAAACCTCAAGTTATTCTGAAATTAGTGTCTCAAATCATTAAAATTGCTATTACGCTCCTAATTTTCCAGTTACTTTCAATGTAGTCTCTCCAATCAATGACTAAAGGAATGATATGAGAAGAAGTAGTAATTAGAGAGATAAATTTAAAACAACGCATGAGAAGTGTTGGGGAAAATCCGTGTCGAGGAACCAAACCAATCGTCGATCAAAGAAGGCAAAATCCAACCAAAATCAATGCACAAACACCAAACACTAGTTTTAACATGGTTCGGCAATTGCCTACGTTCACGGGGCAAGAAGGGGATGAAGTTTTTCACTAATAGAGAATAAGAGTACAAATTAAGATTACAAATCACTCGAAGGAACAAACTAATCTCACCACAAAGCTCTTAATCTCTCCAAATAAACCCTAAACAAATAGCTCAGAAAATGCCTCTTTTCTGTACTCCAAATATCCCAAACTTTAGCCTTCAGAAACCTTAGAACGTATATTGGTATTTATACAAACACCAAAATCCAAATCAGAACAGGAAACTCAAACTGGGCCTGACCCATTACGCAATCGACCGCCACGGTTGACCGCGACCAACAAACAGAACCTGGAAACTCCTACAGGGTCTGGCGGTCGACCGCGACAAACGACAGAGCCCAAAAATGTCCTACAGGGTCTCGCGGTCGACCGCGCCAAATCCAGACTCCTCCCAGCAAGTACTTCTCTCTCTAGGACCTCCAAATCTTCTTCGCCGAAGTCCATTGCATCACAATCATATTTTAGATCTTGAGTGAGACAAGACCTAATCACACCACACGTCGTTCTATTTATTTTCTTCCAAACCTTCTCATCAATGTCGTCCGGTTTCCCGTCCAACTCTAACGTATCTTCCAAATTCTGCGCATTGAGCGCATCCACACTCTCGCATCTGAAGTTCAAAATTGTTAGTGCATTGAACTTCTCCACGTCAATCTTCATCGAGTGGATATTTCAAACTTTGACAATCTTCACGGCCTGAAGAACCACCCTCAACATCTTTTCTCCCGGCCATAATCCTCAACACACCAATAAACAATTGCAGAAACGAATAAGAAATAGATCCAAACTTGAAAAAGATAAAATCTTTACCAAAAGATCCACCTTTATCACAACTGAAACCTAGACGAGCTTCCAAATCGATCTACTCCTTCAAATAGCCTAAGCGTAGCCGAGCTCTGATACCAATTGTTGTGGCAAGGTGGTCGACCGCGCCAAATCTAGACTCCTCCCCGAGTCTGTGCACGTTCGCGGTCGATCGGCCTTGCGCCGCGGTCAACCGTGCAGCTCCCAAACCGATTCCTGCGGATCCCAACACCTGTTCTTCACCAAACTTCTTCACGGTTTGTTCAATTCTTCACCTCGGTGAAGTTTCTTCCAAAACTGAGCCGACACCAACCAAACCAAATGCCTCACTTGTTGCGTCCAGTACGAAGTGAAACTATTCACGACAATGGACTCAATCCACAACATGTCGAGATCGAAACGGGAGTACGAACACTCACCCAAATGTCAATGTCTCTCACCAAATCGGCCGTATCAAAACTGACTGCCTACGTATCCTCTTACCTAAGGAATCAAGCATTCACGTAATTCACCCAATGACCTCCAAAGGCCCTCAATCCAATAGAAGAACACGCAACCCTCCTCCATCATCACCAAATCTGCGACTGATAGCACCTCCAATGACCTCAAACTGAAGCGATCCAAACACCTCTGCCTAAGGTGAACCAATGGCCATGTCCAAACTACGCCTATCAGCTGCACTCAAAACAATCAACATGTCATCTGCATCCGAAACCGAAATACCCCCATGCTGTATCACCTCAGCTGAAGTCCCAAATAATACAGAATGACCTGGAGTATGTGGAGTAATATCCACCCAATATGGAGTAGCATCACCCTCCACCCGCTGCAATATCCAACTGATCTGATCAACACTCTCCACTTGCCGAGAGTGAAAAGTGACATACCTGCTCATAACAAAATCAGAAGCTCCCAAATGATAGCCAAACGAGTCTCTGAATCCTAAACGCGCAATCGGATCAAATTTTACATCCTCGATGTAACCAAGTGCTGGGTAACCAAATATCCGATGCCAATCAAAATCTAAAGCAGCTCCACCAGATCCAAAATCACTAAATACAGTAGTCGACAACCTATGTATAAGATGACCCAAATGTGTCGAAGCCCGAATACCAAGTCCAATGCTCGACAACCAACGCCGATCCTCATCCAGAAAGGAACAGGTCATCAAATCTGCCATCTCATATCGTCGCCTCAATATCTCCTCTCCAATGAAGTGCCTCCAACTGCCATGAGCTCGGCACAAATACAAGAAGAAACCCCTACTCGAGCTAGTACGACGGATAACCTTTTTGCCAACACACTTCTTCCAACTGTTGAGGACTACTAGGACTTCAAACCAACGGGGCTTGGTTGCGACCCATAAATGCCTAGTACAATCCCCAACTACAGCAACCAAAAAACGATTACCTCCCAATGATGCCTCCTTGGAAGGCCCCAAATGCCTGACTGAACACCTCCTAAAAGACCACTCGATCGATGGATAGAAGTGCCAAACTCCACCACGGTCTTATCGCTCATCCCAATATGTTCAAAGGACTTCCATTTGCAGGTCAACGCACTCCTCAACAACTTATGCACGACATTGCCTATCAAATACCCTAGCGTCAAACAACACCATAGTCTAGCCAAATCCAATGAAGTCGTCAGCGCTCTATCAATCACCATGGTCCCAAGCAAACAGTACAAGTTACTCATTCTGATGTCCTTCATCACAATCATGGACCCAAATATAACCTTCAAACGTGCATCCGTCAAGGTCACCCTATAGCCTGTTGCCTCTAAAACTCCAAGTAAAATAATATTCTTCTTCAATTAAGGAACGAACCTTACTTCAACCAACTTCCGAATCACCCCGTCACTCATCTGAATACGAACGGTACCGATACCATCAATAGGTCACCCATGAGCACAACATCCCCTCTTTCCAACTCCTGAAAGCTGGAGAACCAATCCCTCCTAGGACAAATATGGTATGAGGTACCCCAATCCAACATCCACTCAGTGGAGTCAGCAACACAAACTGACGAAAGTGCTAGACACGAATAGCCAGAAGAATCTGAATCTGAAATATCACCACTAGCCTTGGCAACATTCACCTCTGAAGCTTCAATCACTTTCCCCTTATTCTTCCCGGCTCGATCATTCAATTTTGGGCATTCGGCTTTCCAATGTCCATCTTCTTTACAAAAAGCATACTGATTCCTACGAATTCCAAGATGTTCCCCTCTAGTCTGTGACCTTCTACCTGGGTTTGGACTCTTTGCTCTTGCAACCAATGCCCCTGCTACCGGCTCAATAGAAGTCTCCTTATCCTTCTTCCTAAGTTGGTAATTCACAAGTGCAGCGGTGACCTCACTATATGAAAGAGATGTCTTCCCATTAATAAGAGTAAGGACGAAGGTCTCATATTCCTCGCCGGGTAAGGAACTTAACAATAGCAACGCCTTGTCCTCATCTTCAACAATAATATCTACATTCGCCAAATTCGTAAGAAGCTTCGTATAGTGGTTCATGTGATCACCAATGGATGTCCCCTTCTTCAATTGGAAGCGATAAAGCCTCCTCTTTAAATGCAAGCGATTTTTGACGCTTTTCGTCAAATACTTGCCCTCTAGGACCTCCCAAATCTTCTTTGCTAAAGTCTGAGTGAGACAAGACCTAATCACACCACACGTCGTTCTATTTATTTTCTTCCAAACCTTCTCATCAATGTCGTCCGGTTTCCCGTCCAACTCTAACGTATCTTCCAAATTCTGCGCATTGAGCGCATCCAACACTTCGCATCGCTGAAGTTCAAAATTGTTAGTGCCATTGAACTTCTCCACGTCAATCTTCATCGAGTGGATATTCAAACTTTGGACAATCTTCACGCCTGAAGAACCACCCTCAACACCTTCTTTCCCGGCCATAATCCTCAACACACCAATAAACAATTGCAGAAACGAATAAGAAATAGATCCAAACTTGAAAAAGATAAAATCTTTACCAAAAAGATCCCACCTTTATCACCAACTGAAACCCTAGACGAGCTTCCAAATCGATCTACTCCTTCAAATAGCCTAAGCGTAGCCCGAGCTCTGATACCAATTGTTGGGGAAAACCCGTGTCGAGGAACCAAACCAACCGCCAATCAAAGAAGGCAAAATCCAACCAAAATCAATGCACAAACATCAAACACCAGTTTTAACGTGGTTCGACAATTGCCTATGTCCACGGGGCAAGAAAGGGATGTGGTTTTCACTAATAGAGAATAAAAGTACAAATTGAGATTACAAATCACTCGAAGGAACAAACTAATCTCACCACAAAGCTCTTAATCTCTCCAAATAAATCCTAAACAAATAGCTCAGAAAATACCTATTTTCTGTGCTCCAAATATCCCAAACTCTAGCCTTTAGAAACCCTAGAACATATATTGGTATTTATACAAACACCAAAATCCAAATCAGAACAGGAAACTCAAACTGGGCCTGACCCGTTACGCGGTCGACCGCCACGGTCAACCGCGACCAACAAACAAAACCTAGAAACTCCTAGAGGGTCTAGCGTCGACCGAGGCGGTCGACCGCGCTAAATCCAGACTCCTCCCAGAGTCTGTGCACGTTCGCGGTCGATCGGTCTTGCGCCGCGGTCGACCGCGCAGCTCCCAAACTGGCTCCTGCGGATCCCGACACCTGTTCTTCACCAAACTTCTTCACGGTTTCTTCAAGAAGTACATCGATGTTCTGAATTGTCCAGCTGATGTTGTGAATTGTCCGTCCCCCTCTGATATGAATTTCAAATCAATTGATTGATCAAGAAGAACCTCAACCTTCTTTGATTTCAACCAATCCAGTGTCTTGGTAGCAGCCTTCTTCCAATGAATTCGAGTAACCTCGGTCCATTGTGTACTAAAGTTACCTTCTTTTGTGGAAAGACCACTGCAAGCTCTGCAGCAAGTTCAGCACCCGTCGGTCCTCCCCCAATTATTAAAATAGACCCCGAATTTTTCTATCTTGACATTTTCTGAAATTGGAAAATAAGAGCAATGGGATGATTCATAGAGAATATATGAAAGCATTACTAGAAAGATCGATACTTCAGGCTTATAAAGCCCACCGAGATGTTACGTACCTTCCTGAAATTGTTCCATCCTATCTCTCCTTGATCTGGGATTCCTTTATTTGTGGCCAGTAGCAATAACAAGACAGTTGCATGGAACTTGATGCCTGTCTGTTGTGAAAACCGCTGTTTGAGTGACATTTTTTGTGTTGGATATAAAAATTTCACCCCTTGTCAAATACTTGGAATGGTTAAATAGTGTATTCGCTGCAAATGATGGATCCACCTTTGCTCTCAAGTTCGCCCAAGGAATCTCAAATTATTCTTTCCTGATGTTATCAAGGACGGCATTCAGAAAATGGCACAAATTGTACAAAATATTGCGCAGCGAGTATAAATGTTCAGTGGAAAATAAGGCTCAAATATAATCAGAGAAACGAAAGCATGGGAATATACACTTAAGATGTCAGTTTTTCAAAGAGAAATCCAAATGAGAACATGACTTGCTACCTTTTATAGACATTTGTGTTTCCTGAGTTGGTGTGCACTGTAATATTTTCAGTCCTGAACTCGGGTTATCTGTTACTATTTCAACTTTTTAGCCTCTACATCCACTAACATCTGTGAAAAAATTATGAATATAGTTTTATATAAAATCAAGGACAAATCTATATAGTTTGTCGAAATTAAAACTAAAAAGAACTCTTTTTCTCCAATCAGCGTCACGCATATCACATTAGAAAAGTTAACTAAGAATACTTATTGTGAAATTGTTCATGAAAAGGTTATTCGTAGATCCCAATCCAAAAGAAATCTCTACTGAACGGTCAATACATTGTCAGCCAACAATTGATCACCTGAAGCTCTTGCGGAAAAGCGGACCTAATAAATTAACAGAGCATTGTTTATCGACCTATTGTCAAACCTTACTATTGAAAATTTTCATTACATCTATTAATCTCCATCGCGCAACCATGAGAAAATGTTTTTGTATCAATTTAAGATAAGTTTCATCAGATTCTCATTAACAAGAACTAATTAATTCACCTTTCTGTCTAAAAGAGTCAATATACCATCGAATCATTATAAAAGGGTAATGTAAGATTTTTGTGTTTGTGTCCCCGTTCTAAGGGGGTGTTTGGTTCAATTTCTACAAATTATAAAAAATGATTTCCACCCAAAATATGATTTCCTTGTATTTCTTAAAAAAATTATAGGAAAAGTTTTGAGAAGTTAAAAAGTAGCAATTTTTTTTACTTTGCTTGTTTGGTTCTAAATAAGAAAATGACCCATAACTTTATATAAATAGCAAGATTTCCTATCATTTGTAGAAATTAAACTAAATTTATAGAAAATAGTCAATTTTATAGAAAAGTGTTAATGTGGTGTCAGATTTCTAGGTGATTTCCGCCCATTTTGAGAGGAAATTAATTTCTGTAAATTTTTGTACTTTACAGAAAACATTTCTATAATTTTTTTTTGAACAAACACAATTTACGAAAATCTACAGAAAATTTTTAATTACAGAATTACCATTGTCAGACATTTTGAGAAAATTTTTCTATAAAATTGTGCAACCAAACACCCCCTAAAAACAAATGAAAGAACCTACCAAATAGTGACACCAAAAAGGCCTAATAATATTCCACACATCCACCAACGCAATGCCTCATCGATATCCCTCATGCAAACAGAGACACAACAAGGCCTCAATTTGTACAAAAATTTAAGCACTGACAACTCACTTGGACATTTTGTCGAACATATGACGTGCGTATCTAAAATTCGACCAAAACCCATAAAACTAAATAGGGTCGAAAGAAATCATACGGGTCAATGAGGGTGACATGCGCATAGTCCTGAATACGGCTTGCGAGGAGCGATCCTGCGATTCCTCCTCCGACCACAGCCACACGTTTTGCTTCCCAGTTGCAGCAACCATTTCTCCTCTTCCTCCTTCCATTGCTGTTCCGAATAACGCTTCCATTGTGATAAATCTTAGTTGAGGTTGTTATTTCCAACTTGTTAATTTTGAGAAGGCTAAATTCTAACAATGGCAAACTTTATTGTTAGTTACAAAGCTATTATATACTTTTTAGGAGTCGAATCCAAGCCTCCCACCAAGAAGCAATATGGCTTTGTCATGTGACCTACTCCTCGAAACTATTATATATTTTTTTACTATACTACTTCATACTTTTTATTATAACGAATAGTAACGATAATTGTACACAAGAATTACACTAGTTTCATACTATCAATTCAATAAATAAATAGATATTTCATTGTAAATTGTAAAGAGAAATTATTATTCAAATGCGTTGAATTTTGTAGACCGTTCAATTTTCCACCTATTTGATACCAATGGGATGACATTCAAATTGCTTGAATTTTCATCAAAAGGTAAATTGGTGAATGATGAGCATGATGCAAAGCGTCATTAAACATTTAATTAGTGGTTTGAGGTAGTTGTTGGGGATGCCGGCTTTGATGTCTGCTTGTACACGTAATGCTTATTGTTTCTTCAGACAGGAAAATAAGTACTTAAATATTTCGTTGCTAGTTATGAACCCATTATCATTTTGGTCGCTGTCAAGCCTATGGGCGCATAAATTCGTGCAGAAATTTCATAAAGAGCAAATTACACCAGACCCCGTGAACTTTAAGCATTTTTCGGTAAACCCCTCTAAACTTTCAGGATCATTTTTTTTGAACTGAAGAAGCAGGAATAGACTTCCTGCTCATAAAATTTTATTTATATCAGAAAACATACATATAAGCAACTATACTTAGCACACCCAAAAGGAGGCCAGTATACAGTAGAACAAGAAAAAGGCCAGAAACAGAAGATAACACCATCAAAAACAAAAGAACAACAAAAGATTCACTACACCAGTAAGACTTGAAAAACTTTATATTGTTTTGGACCAAATCACTGCTCCTCTAGAAGAGAGCTACTTAGAAAGGATCTAACCACTTCAAAAGACTTGCCTGAGCTTCTAATCTGCAGAGAAATTATCTCCCACCTCTGCTGCAGCTTTTGTCTTTGCAATTTCGTCGAATTTCAGCTTAATTGCTGCCCTTCTGATCCTTTTTGCCAGCTTATCTTCATGTGCACCTGTCCAATGAAGGGTATACCTAGCCACGTTAGCAGCTACAAGTTCTGGATTTTGCTGAGAATCTTTAAAGATGAAGTAATTTCGACTGTTCCAGATCCACCAACATAAACATGGGAGAACCACCTTCCAAATACAATTTATATGAATACTGTCTGCTGTTGGTGCTTTAAAGAGAATCAAATCATGCATGTTATGCGGCAAAGTGGCTAAATCAATACTAGGGAAGAGTAAAATCCATATTGAAGAAGCAAAAGGGCAAGTAATGAATAAATGATCCTGGCTCTCCACTTCAAGGTAGCAGAAAGGGCACCTTGGATCACCTTTCCATCCCTTAGAGACTAGGTTTGCCCTTGAATTAAGCTTGTTGTTACTCACGAGCCAAAAGAAAACTTTCACCTTCAGAGGGATAGGAGATTTCCAAACAAACTTGTAGAATCTAGATAAACACCCACCTGATATAATGGAAGAGTAAAGAGATTTTACAGAAAATTTTCCTGTTGCATTGAGCGGCCACCATAAGGAGTCCGGGGTTGTAGAGGAACTACAATCAAAGGAGCCAAAACTGGAATGCAGGTCAATGACCTCTCTCTGATCCTCCGTGGTAATACCTCTTCTGAGGATGGGATGCCACTGCCAAACTTGGTTTTGAAGATAACCCTGAGATGAGATGTTGCAACCTTTTGAAAAAGCAAGGGAAAACGCCTTTGGGAAGAGACTGCTTAAGGAGTTTGAACTAATCCATTTGTCATACCAGAAACTACATGTCTTTCCATTACCAACGGTCCATCTCACAAAGAATTGAAAGACTGGGTACACAGAACTTATGTCCTTAATCAAGTTAGATGATTTAAATCTTGATATGGACACTACAGGATTGGATCCATCCTTAGAATATAAGGAGAAGATCACTTTACTAATGAACGAGTCCCTGTCAAAGATTTTCCAAATCCACTTAGATAAGAGGGAGATGTTGAAGACTTGGAGATTGATTATACCCAATCCCCCTTCCTGTTTCGGTCTGCATACTAGTTTCCATGAAGCCAGACACTTGATATTAGAGTGGTTGTTACTCCCAAAACTCCTTTTTTAAGGGGAAGACCCAAATAGGAGGATGGTAAAGATCCCAGAGAACAATTGAAAAGACTAGCTAATCGGGGAGCCTTTCTGTGGGATCTACCAAGGTAGAAAAGATGTGTTTTGTTGTAATTGACCAGCAAGCCTGAGATATGTGCAAAGATGAGAAGAATTGCTTTAAGGGTGGACATATCTGAAGGGGATGCTCTGGAAAAGATAATTGTGTCATCAGCAAACTGAAGCGTCCTAATGTTGTTAAGTTCTCCTTTCAACTGGAGATCAGAAAGATCCCCCGAAGCAACACTAGACCTTATCATTTTATTTAGAACATCAACAACCAAGAGAAAAAGCATGGGGGAAAGGGGATCCCCTTGTTTCAAACCCCTATGACAGGAGAAGAACTTGGTAGGAGAACCATTAACCAGAACAGCTGATTTGGAGGATGAAAGGATGTGTTTGATCCAGAGACACCAATTCTGACTGAAACCTCTAGCTTGCAAACAAGGGGTTTATTGCAGGATCATAGTAAACCCTGTTGTGCGCAGCGGAAAATTCGGCAGCACCTCCGGTGCGCAAGGTGCACAACAAGAGATTAGATCACAATGAAATTCTTGCTTCTCAAAGGAAACAAGAACCAAAAGCCTGATATCTCATCAAAGTGAGATATCAGCTCTTCCTCTCGTCAGCTCTAGGACTGCGCGTCGAGGGATCCTACAAGCTATTACAAATCACGGCAAGAACACAAAATTTTACGTGGTTCGGCAAACTGCCTACGTCCACGGGGCAAGGAGGGGGAGATCTACTATTAGAGGGAGAGATACAACTGGGGTTTACAATCACACAACCTAAACCCTCTCACAAATTCTCTAATCCCTCATACAAATATCTCTCTCAAAACGATGCACAAAACCCTAACAAAAGCCTTCTGCCAGCGCCACCAAAGAAAAGAGAACAGCCGACTTCAAATGCCGCCTCTGCACACCCAACGAAGAGACAGCCGCTGCTCCTTCTTTTCTCCTGCTGTAGCCGCCAATGTAAACCCCAAACTTGCGCACCTCCTTCGCGAAACCCTAGGCAAGGGTTTATATATAATTCCGCCTCTGCTTGTGGAACCCTAGAAAATCTCGTGGGTATAAATAGCCTAGTGATGCGGTTTACAACCAATGCGAACTTGGGCCTCAGGACTTGTCCGCTGGATCTTAGCTTTGCCTTCACCCGTGGTCCATTATCATTTCACGTGAATCATTTTCACGCGGTTTACTTGGCCAACACTGTGGCCCCCACCCATTCACAATTCTCCACCTCGGTGAAGTTTTTCCAAAACTGAGCCGACACCGACCAAACCAAATGCCTCACTTGTTGTATCCAGTACGTCATGGCAACGGACTCATGACAACGGATTCCATCCACAACAGGTCGAGACCCAAACGGGAGTGCGAACACTCAACCCAAAACAAATAGTGTCTACTCACCAAATCAAACTGAGCCTACACCGACTACACCAAATGCCTCACTTGCTGAGACCCAAATGGGAGTGCAAACACTCACCCCAAATGTCGATGTCGCTCACCAAATCGATCTCACCCCCATCAACTAATCCAAACCCGGCTGCATCATAAAGACTGCCTACGTATCCTCTTGCCCAAGGAATCAAGCCGAACGTAGTTCACCCAAATGGCCTCCAAAGGCCCTCAAACAAATAGAAAAGTCTGCAACTCTTCTTCAATATCACCAAACGATCTGCAACTAATTTCGTCAAATTTCAGCTTGATTGTTGCCCTTCTGATCCTTTTTGCCAGCTTATCTTCATGTGCACCTGTCCAATGAAGGGTATACCTAGCCACGTTAGCAGCTACAAGTTCTGGATTTTGCTGAGAATCTTTAAAGATGAAGTAATTTCGACTGTTCCAGATCCACCAACATAAACATGGGAGAACCACCTTCCAAATACAACTTATATGAATACTGTCAGCTGCTGGTGCTTTAAAGAGTATCAAATCATGCATGTTATGCGGCAAAGTGGCTAAATCAATACTAGGGAAGAGTAAAATCCATATTGAAGAAGCAAAAGGGCAAGTAATGAATAAATGATCCTGGCTCTCCACTTCAAGGTAGCAGAAAGGGCACCTTGGATCACCTTTCCATCCCTTAGAGACTAGGTTTGCCCTTGAATTAAGCTTGTTGTTACTCACGAGCCAAAAGAAAACTTTCACCTTCAGAGGGATAGGAGATTTCCAAACAAACTTGTAGAATCTAGATAAACACCCACCTGATATAATGAATGAATAAAGAGATTTTGCAGAAAATTTTCCTGTTGCATTGAGCGGCCACCATAAGGAGTCCGGGGTTGTAGAGGAACTACAATCAAAGGAGCCAATACTGGAATGCAGGTCAATGACCTCTCTCTGATCCTCCGTGGTAATACCTCTTCTGAGGATGGGATGCCACTGCCAAACTTGGTTTTGAAGATAACCCTGAGATGAGATGTTGCAACCTTTTGAAAAAGCAAGGGAAAACGCCTTTGGGAAGAGACTGCTTAAGGAGTTTGAACTAATCCATTTGTCATACCAGAAACTACATGTCTTTCCATTACCAACGGTCCATCTCACAAAGAATTGAAAGACTGGGTACACAGAACTTATGTCCTTAATCAAGTTAGATGATTTAAATCTTGATATGGACACTACAGGATTGGATCCATCCTTAGAATATAAGGAGAAGATCACTTTACTAATGAACGAGTCCCTGTCAAAGATTTTCCAAATCCACTTAGATAAGAGGGAGATGTTGAAGACTTGGAGATTGATTATACCCAATCCCCCTTCCTGTTTCGGTCTGCATACTAGTTTCCATGAAGCCAGACACTTGATGTTAGAGTGGATGTTACTCCCATTCCAAAGAAAACTTCGTCTGATTTTGTCTATTTCTTG